AAAAAAAAAAAAAGAAAAGATGAAAAGAAAAAGATTTTAACACATAACATAAGCAACGTAAATTTAGCTGACACACAGAAAAAAAAAAAAAAAAAATGAGTGAATAAAAAGAGCTAAGATTAGAGAGAAAAATTTTTGATGAAAAAAGATTAACCTTTCAATGACCAATTTTTTTTCCTTCTGGTTTTTTTGTTTTTTTACTCTCCCTTTTTTTTTTTTGTTGTTGTTGTTGGTTGCCTTCTTTTTTCCCAATATTTGATACACCATATATAAAAACAGCCAAACATCGGCAGCGTTAAAGAAGCCACCACCCACCTATATATTTGGTCGTACTTGCGTCATAGCTAACCAAAACTGAAGACGAAATAAGAAAAAAAAAAAAAAATTTAGTTTTCTCGCCTTTTTTTTTCATTTTCTTTTATCCCTCTATCTGCAAAAAAAAAAAAGCCACCTTTTTGGCTTCAACATTTCCTAGCTCTCTATATAAACTATTAGAAAACTATCATTGATAAATTTTTTTTGGGGATGCAAATCAGTAATTGATACCAATCATTAAGGTGTAGCTGAAAATGTCAATAAATCTAGATCAATCTAAACTATCGAAAGTAAACGGTATTTTGATGATCAGTCAGACGAATAGATGTAGAATGAAATTTCCAATAAATTTTTTCCTTAACTGTCGTCAACATCCGAAACAAAAGCTCGTCGTTCACTGTCATCTATCTGATCGGTTCGTACTGCTTGTCCAATACCAAAGAAACGTTTTTTACCCTTTGCAAAAAAGACTCGATCGCTTGCCTTTAAAGAGAAACAGTAATGTTGTAAGACAGAAATAAAATGCTACTAACGTTATGGTTAAAAATAATATTTTTACTCATCTTTTAGACTAAACTGATTCGAATATTTTTTTCTTAACAGTTATGGAAGGATGATTTTACTTCGTTTTTTCTTTCTTTAAATTTAGAAAGCTGTAAAAAATGGTCACGAGGAAAAGAGACCTGTAAGAGACGATAACAATAAACAGAAATTGGCTTTTTTTTTTTTTTGGTTTTTAATAAGTTTTTTTTTTAGAAACAGAAAAAGAGTAGAGAAAAGGGTTTATGTTTTGGCATTTAAAAATTCCATTATATGAATCATTTTTTTCTTTTTCTATTAACTAAACAAATTTTTTTTTATTCAACAAACATAAAATTACCTCTTCTTCATCATTATCTTCAATGCCACACGTTTCTGCACTTGGCAAATATTCATTTTTGGCATTTTTTGATTCTGCCAATTTTGTATACCGATATTCCAAACTGTAATACCATAAATGCAAATATTTCCTTCACCCACTCAATGTTTAACATTTTTATCTTAGTTGTCAAAACTTAAAACTAACAGCAATGAATATAATTTGTTTACTTTTGTACAGTGTAGTGTTTTTACGTTTAATTAAACAAAATTGAAATGTAATATTTTTTTCAGTGACAAGAAGGAATGAGTACAAAAACAACTTAAAGTTGCAAAAAAAAAAATTTTTTTTCTTTGAAGAAATAGAGTAAAGGAATTATTATTAATTTATAAAAAGCAAAAAAAAAAATTTTTTTATTTTTAAAGCTTAACAGAGTTTTTTTTATGAATAAGTTCTGATTTTCGGCTGATTGATTGTAACGCTTTATCTCAATAAATAGGTTAATGAAGCAAAAAATATTGCAACTAATTAAGCTACATTAAAATCTACTGCAGCGTGTAGCGTAATTTGTGTAAAACTACACAGTTACTCAATATCTGTTAAAACTGTTGAATAAATAACTTAACAACCAGAAATCAGATGTATTCAGCTGAAAAAAGAAATAGACCTTTTGTTTTTACGACAAACATGAGCCACCGTTATACAGAGTACAATTGCAGTTGTCGTCGACCCAAAAATGAACATCCGCAAACTGAACGGCAACGCTGAACATTGCTCTGTTCTTTCGCTACTCTGAACACCCGATAGTATACAGTGCCTATAAATGACCGTACAAGTTAAGTTAGGTCTTATGCCAATTATTCTAAACAAATTGATTATTTAGATTACTAAGCGTTTTTTACCAGGTATAATTTATAATACCTGGCAGGTATTCGATGTACTGTCAAAAATCCATCAACACATTCACCACGAATTTCTTTATAGTCATCATCTCTACAAATTGGACAGGCTAATGAAGTGACCAGTATTATATGGTACAAGCAACCGTCACAAGTGCCATCTGGACATTCACGAGGTAAAAGAGCCTAAAACAAAACTACAGAAACGGCGCATCAGTGATTGAATAGACTGTAAAATTTGGTACATTACACCTACTTCAGGCTCTTCCGAATGCCTGGGGTCGCATCGTGCAGTTACCACCGTATTGTAACCATTTGGACAAATTTCTGTTGCTGGAGATAACGATCGGTAAAAAAATCGTATTTCCGATAGTTCAGTATTTGTACCAGAAAATTCTGCAGCAGTCATCAAAATATTATATTTTTTTAAAAGAACTTTCTAGCAAAAAGAAAGTGTTTTGATACCAATTCCAGGTTAACATAGAATTCGGTAGTACCAATGAACGCTTAGCGTAGAATAATTAATAATTTGTATATTTTTTTTCTAATTATTTTTGTTGTTTTAAACTCTTATGCTTTCTGCTTTCTATCTTCGAAGTAAAAATTTATTGAAACAGGTATAAAGTGTTCAAAACTGACGATGATCTAAAAGTTTATCTGTCAGTTTGATGTTTCCAAATTCCCCATCGAAAGTTACAGCGACTAGTACATCACCAAGCCTGAAGATGATATATCGTAGTTTGAAACAACAAGTATTATCAGTATAATACATTTAATTATTGCTTATAAATTAGTAGTTCTCTATTTTTTGCAATAAGGTAATCTATAATAATAGAAGTTTTCTGTGCAGTAATCAAGTTAAAAAAAATATTTATTAGTTTTAACGACAATTTATTCCCATTTTTTTAGACCTCAATTTTATAATTTTGAAAACAAAAAGAAGAAATTTCTTTTTTTAAAGTCTTGCAAATAATTCAAATTTTTTAGGCAGTAAAACTTGCAGTAGTGGAGCGACAATAAAATAATGACTGGAATTGTTGTTAACAGTTCGTCTTTCCAACGCTGTTGCACGGCACACAAATCCATCCACTGACCGCGCCTTAAATTATCATTGGTGTCAAACGATATCGGTATTATATGTCTAACAGCAAATTCTGCACGAAAAACAACATTTTTTTGGTTGAAAAAAAAAATTCTGTTGACATTCGCTAGTGTCAGTAATCGATTATAAAAATGTTTGTTAAAAATTAATGAAAAAAAATTGAGAGAACAAATTTTCCGATACTATATTTACGAAAAAAAGAGTTTCCAATGACTATTTAGCCGACGTGCAACAAGCAATTTTACACTCTTTTTATACATAATCTTTTCTTTCTATTTCAATCAAAAGTTGTCGAGACTTTCCTAGTTAAAAGAAAAAGTAGAGTTTCTTAAACCAGACAGTTTTTTTAATAAAGAAATGATAATGTTACCTATTTAGCAACAGATTTTATTGAG